ATGTGTTCCTTTATGTTTAGAAACAACAAGAACCCATAATAAAATATTTAAGTAAAATTACTGCATCTGTCTAGAGTTCCAAAGCTCACAAAATTTATGGTCTGCTGCAAATTGCAGTACTGACAGGCTGCTTCCTTGGCCAGCAGGTGGTAAGACCGTCTGTCAAACTATTGAGTTTACCAGCAAAGCAAACTGATCAGTGCTCTATTTGTTTAGCCTAGAGACAGGCAAAAAGAACAGAGCACAGAATCCCAAAATGAAACCAGGCACAGTGGTGTGGGTACTACCAGGTATTATGCAAGTGAAAGCTTCACTGAGAATCTGGTGAAACCAGACGGAAAGGAAGAAGCACAATTGCTGCCCTTTCCTCATCCTTGAATGGTTGTGCACTATATTGCCTCTCAAAGACAGCTCTCTGTTTAGAATTGGACAGTTCTTGTAGTAGCATCAAGTCAATGAAGAACTATTTAAAATAAGGAGATTAAAAAAATCTCCCCTTGTCTCTCTCAACCCTTTTTGAAGAGATGTAATTAGCTATTTTTGTCTGAAGTTGGCCAGAAGGCAGGGCAGGGTAGGCTGTAAGGACCCTGCCACATGTTCATATTAAAGCTGGACAGCTATGAAGTTGTTAGACATTTCCAAACCCTAACTTTGTAGCTGGTTGGTTCTTTTTGCAGCTGGAAGGACATTTTTATGGCATGATAATTAGCTTGCATGTGTGGCATGTCTAAATTTATTGCTCAATTGACCAGTTAATTGTGTAATATATGTAATGTGTGAAGTACTGTCACAAAGGGGAAGTTGTGGAAAAAGTAGTACTCTATATTTACACATCATAACATTTTTATGTCCTGACACAGTACTCCACAAATTTAAGATGGGAAATTGGATAATCTGTGCATGAACTTTTGCTTGGGTATCCTCAGGCCTATTGTACTAGGTCAGTGCTTTCCATGATCTTATTAAGAGTCCTCTAGATCATCCATGCATTTTTCACATGGATGAGTGACACAGCAGACCCAATTTGGGTATGACTGGCTCTGTGCAGAACAAAGGCAAGGAGGACAAGTGACTAAAATGCACAAGATAATCAAACAGATGTGATTATTTACACATGTAGTCCTATCTTGTTCTATTGCTGTATGCACTGCCAAGTTTGGTGTGGGATTTCATAGCTGGCTCTTGTAAACTGCATTGAGTTCTGCTGTTAAGACTCTCTATGGATTTTCCTCTCTGGGGATTGGAATATTTGTACTGATTTCAGCTCATATGAGTCAGCATATAATATCTGGGAGAAATGGACACCCTGAGAGTGAGGAGAGACCCCACAGGGCTTGCTATATACTCAGACATGTCTTTGGAGCCGATTTGGAAATCACAGATGCCCAGGTCTAAACCATCAGCTCAGCAGTCTCAACCTGAGCTCCATTTCACATTCATTATAGCTGCCAGGGGCTCATAGATTTATGAATCTTGCAGATTTCTGTAGTTTCCTCCCTGGCTTTGAGGCACGTCTTGTCTCCACCTCCAGCTGGAGTTCTGAACAGTGACTGACTGTTATTTGATATTTTGTATAGGGAATTTGTTTCAGTGTGAGGAAGAGCTATGGCAAAGGACAAAAATATGTTAATTGTCTTCCTGCACAGACACTAAAAAGATTTGTTCAGCTTATTTCTTTGCAGTAGCATACAGTTTGATCACTGCAGGCTCCCCAATTTCAATAGCAGTTCTTTCCAAGGCTCACAGCAATGAGTTTGTGAGGTTTTCTGTGGACAACAATAAATCAGCTCTGGCCACATCTCCTATCTCTTTGGATTTTGAACCCCACAGATTGCCAGGTACTGACTGCACTTGATTTTTGTGTCTGATGAAAAAGTCTGTCTTATTCTGGCCCTAGTGTTAACTGCTAAAAAAGCCATTAAGAAGTTCCAAGTTCATTTTATTTCAGTTATGTTCAAACTAAATGTGCTGTTTGCAAGTAAAAAGCTGTGTTTTTTTCTCTCAACTGCTAGGTTCAAATTTTCTGACAATTACACTGGGCTCTCTTCACCCCTTGGATAATCAATTTGTCAAATATGGTTGCGATTCTGAGTCAGCCCTCCATATAAGTTGACCCTATGTTTTCAGATTCAATTTTAGAAAAAAAAACAGCTTCTTGGCATTTTTATTGCACGTGCAAAACTACTGCAAAAACAAAAGTCAAGATTGTTAGGAGCTTGCTTATAGAGGGATTCCATGGATGGGCAAATTCCGAGGAAGAGGAGTATGACCATCCACCCGTCTGGATGTGTGGCACATGTGCAGTAAAACTCTCTGAGCTCATTGGCTTGTCAGTGCGACTTCTGGCTGGAGCCACCACTTTGACATGGCTCCAGAACCAAGGAGGGTGACAGCATAACACTGCTGCTGATACCCCCACTTCCTCCCCTACTGCCAAATTCTGTACTGGGCAAGGAGGTGGGAAACGAGCAGTAGAGACATTCAACCCTGAGTCTTGGAGCTACACCAACAAGCCAGCGAGCACAGAATTCACTGTTCATGCAAAGCACAACCAATGTGGGGTGCAACTGCACACCGCACACTCCCTGGATCCCCCCCGATCCCATGTATAAATCAAGTACAACTTTCCTGGTTCTTTTGGAAAGAAAGAAAGAAGATGAACTTATAATCAGAGCAATACAGTACTACAACAACTTGTAGGCCAAATTATATTGTTACTTGTACCTGTGCAAATCTATTAACCTTCACCATGCTTTTGTAAGCACACTGAAAATACAATCTGAGGACAATGCAGTGTGCAGATGTGAATGAGGGTATGGTTTGGCTTGAAGAATTTTTATTACAGATGTTATGGAAAAAGGAAAGGACCCAGCAAAAACCAGGGTGAATCTGCAGTGTGGGGTAGTTAGAAATTCCACTTAGGCCCCTGCCACGTTACATATATTATGCAATTAACTGGTTAATTATGCAAGAAATTTAGACTGGCCAGACATACAAAGTAATTATCACACTGTGACAGGGGGCCTCCCGGGGCCGATCTCCACGGCCCACCCCCTGTCTCTGTGACAGGGGGCCTACTCAGGGCCGAGCTCTTCGTGGCCCGCCCACCTGTCTCTGGGCAACCGCCCGCCTATCTCGCCCGCCACGCCTTTGATGATAATAAGTTCAATTACGGTGTTAATTAAGCAGGAGGTTACCCATTTTAATGCCCCAATGCCAGGGGGCGCTCTGCGGCTCCGACCTCCCCTAATACCGCAGCCCAAGCCTCCCAGATGGCATCATGATGTTCATCTCTTCCGGCCCCCATGTGGGGCCCCAGAATCTTCTAAACAGGACCCCTCTATGATCCCTCCTGATCAGGCGGCCTCTCCGCCTTCTTCCGGGCTACTAGCCCTCCCGAAGCCATTTTCCCCTCTCGGGTGTCGTCCCCCCGGGACCTTCGGCTAACTGGCCCTGGCCCACCTCCAGGCCAGTCGGGACCCCAGGCCCCTGGATCTTGGGCGTCCCTCGCGGTGGGCCCCTGGCCCTTTTGACCCTCTCTGGTCCTGGCCCCAGCATGGGCCAGTCGAGGGTACTATCTCCCTCGGGCCGGGTCTCTAGCCCCTCACTCTCTCTTCGGGCTCATCGCACTGCTACCCCCTTTCTCCTGGGGTTCACCGCAGCATCACGCCCGGTAATCATTCCCTCTCTCTGGGTCCGCCCTCTAGGCCCCTCCAAACATAGCGTTACCCACCCGGCGGTGGGAGCTAGGGGTTAAGGCACCCCGACCTGCCTTTCACCAGGGTAGTAACTGGCCTGGCATTTCCTGGGGGCTCCCACGCCACTGAGAGCCCCACCAGACCACCCACTCCCGGCAGGGTGCAGGTTCAGGTCATGCCCAGGACCAGGAGCCTCCTAACCATCCCCTTGCAGCTCCCCCTTACCTCCGGGTCGTTCACAGCAGCCCTACAGCCAGGCAATGTTGCTGCCTGCTCGCTTGCAGCCAGACTGCCCTGCTTATATAGGCAGCCCATGTCTCAAAATGGCTGCCCTCGTCAGGCACCTGGAGGCTGCCAGCTCCAGGCCCTTAAAGTGGCAGACACACCCTGTGCTCTGCCACACACACCATAAAAATGTTCATCCAGCTATAAAGAGTCAGCCATACAAAGTTAGTGCTTGAAAATGCGTATCAACTTTATAGCTGGTTTCTATCCAGCTTTAATTTGAACATGTAACTGTGCCCTTATTTACTCAGTGCTAAAGCAAATGTGATATTCAGGGAACATGGAACCTCACAATGATATTTTATAGTAACTTTTCAAAACAGGCTGTAAGGCAAAAGGAATAGCTGCTATTGACAGATAATAGGTATCTCAGTGTAGGATACGATGTCATTTGTCCTTAAAAAAGGCAGAGATTTGCTGCTGCTTCAAAACCTTTCTTGATTCTGAAACACTTGGCAGTTACTGCTCAAATCTCATAACTCCTCTTGTTCAGGAAGCATTCTAGGCTGTTTTTATATTGGTCCTGGTTATCCATGGGAACAGTCTGATGATGACTTTAATCTCGGGTTGGATTGCTAGGTTTGATGTGCTACTTGTCAGTTTTTTATTTTTTTTTCTTTTTTAAAATAATCATTCATTAGTTCACATGTATTTGTATTTTATTACATTTTATTATATTGTATTTACTTTTATTTCATTGAAGGAATTCTTGAGAGCTTTGGCAGGGAGGCAACATATAAATGAAATGATTACTATTATTATTACTAATAATTGTATTTGGATGCTGCCATGGAAATGCTGCTCTGTCACAGATTCCAGTATGTTGATGGCCCTTAATTTAGGGCAGTGAGTTGCAGAATTGAATGCCTGCGTGCTGCAGAATGAAAAGCACCCTGCTCGTACCAAAGCAGTACACGATTTTTTCCCCCAGTTCAAATTCTGATTTAAGCCCTTCAAAATCATTTGCAACTAATACCTTACATCTTCCTGCCAGTGCAAAATATAGGCATTAGCTACCTTTTTGGTCAGTGAATCATCTGAATCAGATGGCATTCTTGTGGACACATGAAAAATGACTTCCACAGTAGAGGTAGCATAATATGGTGCTGTTTGTCCTGTGCTGCCATTACGCTGCAGACCGCCCATAAATCCACAATGCGTTGAAAGATCAACCTTATTGATGCAAGAGAAAAAGAAAACAAGTAAGAAAAAGCCCTGTTCTTATTTAGTCCTATTAGAAGTGATTAGAGCACTGATAATCAAAAGTGAATGTGCTCTTTTTGTTTTGTTTTTTTTAAGTGTTGAGGGTTTAATTTTGTAGAACCCTCTCTACAAGGGTTGCAGCCAACTTGTATGCAAGAGAGCTGCCTTCCCTATTCAAGATGCCTTCCCTTGGTACGTACCTTGTCTCCATACAACAATCTGCCACACTTTTCCATCTCTGTAATTTGTAATCACTAAAACTAGTGACTAGGCAGTTATCATGGCTATAGTGATTTTCTTGCCTATCAACATAATTTGCTTGTCAATGCAGGGGACTGGACTTAAAGGGGCCCAGTAGGCCTCTTCCAATCCTATGTCCCTAATATACTTTTTTTCATTTTTATGGGAAGTCCAGACAAAAGGTATTATATCTTCCTGCTGGCAAATGAAGAAAGGGAATCAAAATAATTCTGTAATATTATTTTAAGGGCTAATTCTGGCTAAGCAAATGCACTTAGCACATTCTCAAAAACAATCAGATGACAAAAAGGGAGAAAGCAGGATCTCTGTCCTTCCCAGGCACTCTATCTGCCCTTGTAGCTCAGCCATTGTACCTCTACAACCTGGATGGAGTCCATTGGTTCAGAACTACTCTCTCAATCATGTAGTCTAGAGGCAATGCATCAAAGAAGCCTACCTTGCAACTGAATGCTTCAAACTTGCTCCACTGCTGCACAATAAGGTGTCAGCTGACTTCCTATCTAGGTCTTTTTAAAGGCTGACTCATAATTTTCTCTTTACATTAAAGGTATGCAGCTAACCTCACTCTTTAGAAAAAATAGAGAAAAGGGAAGGAAGTACTGTTTCTTCTTCTTTTTTCCCTCTTTTGCTGGTAGGTGGTACTTGCACCCTCAGCAAATCAGAAATCAAACACTTATGTGGGTTGCCCTGAAGAAAAGCCAGGATGGGAGCAAGAGTACCACAGGTATGCTCAGCCATGTAACTGCAGTTTCTGTGATAAGCATGAGAAGTAGGTTTACTATATGTATATGCCACCTAGTTATCTGCTACATTAACTTTTTCCTTCTCAGAACTCATTGCTTAAAAGCCAAAACAAGACACATACTGAAAATTAGTTTTTTTAGCACCTTGGAACTTGGGAGGTTTCATGTTACTGCAATGGATGGATTATGGTGGCAGAATGCCCTGAATCATTTGAAGATTACTGGTAATTTTCAAATGATTCAGGGCATTCTGCCACCATAACCCACCCACTGCAGTAACATGAAACCTCCCAGGTTCCAGGGGACTTGAGATCTCAGCATCCACTAGTAGAGAAAGAGGAAAGACATAGTCAACCTGTGGCAACAACAGAGGAAGGAAAGCAACAATCTTAGAAGCATCATCCTCATCCTGAAGTTGGATCTGCCTGAGGTTTAGCCAGTTGCTTTGCAATCCCTTTCTTGATATTATGTGAATGGTACAGAGGGTGGATAGATTTCTCTCTGCCCACAAAGAAAACCGACATGCTTTTTGGTGTTTTCTAGTTTTTTGTGCCATGAGTTACTTATGTAGGTGAGCAGGGTCATCTTTTTCTGTCTTCACTACTCTGCCTTTTAGACAACAGCTGAAATGAAGGAGTGAAAAACAAACTGTCTGTGGCCTGAGTTTTAGAAGTGCTGAACATGCAGAAACCCCTCTGACACCCACTGAATTGGCGGGCCCTCAGTGCCCTTGAAGATCAGTTCCTTCACTGTCACACATGTGGGAGCATTCTGATCAAAACTCATGGTCTTCTGGCATTTGTGACCAGTATGAGTGGTGCATTCCAGAAGGTACAGATGGCCCAAAGTAAATAATATCCTCTCATGGGACTAGGAACAACTTCAGGCCTGGTGGAAGGATCAGGTGACACAAGATGCAAACAATTTTTACATAGTCAGATCCAAAGAGTTTTTGTGGAAGTGAACCTAAAACAGCCCTATCTGTTTACCAAAGTTATTTACTGAATGCCAATCTCTGTAGATTCTAAGCAAACATCCTACACCTTTGAGCTAGGCCAATGCAAAAGCAGAGATTGGACCCCTGAGAGATTTTTGATCCAAGGTATATTGAAACATAACTTTCCCTAGTGAGTATGGAGTTGCACCCACACAGCCAGTTCTTAGATTTAAAAGTAACTTAGCTGTATCTACTGGTAAGCATCAGCCAGTATTTGTTGAATATCTGGTCCCAGAATTTGGTCCAGATGAACTGGTGTTCCAGCTAAAGATGTGATAGAAGCTCTTTTCTCCAAAGAACGATATCACAGTTACACAGATGAAAGCATATAATTTGAGGGGAGGAGGGCGACAATGTTTACATCAAACCTTAGGGTTTCATGTTACAATTAACTGCACAAGACAAAAATACAAGGGAACAGGTAGGCTAGTCACATAGAATATATAAATTTACACCCTTGAGATCCAGGGCATAGAAAAACTCTTTCAGTTTGTTGCAGGAACATTGACTTCTCTCATGCCATGAGAAAAGAGAGCCACAAATTTAAAATGCAACAAGATTTTGGACAGCCAAGAGTGACTACTAAATGGGGAGACCAGCTATTATCCCAACTGTCAGCAGGTGTTCATCCTGATTCATATATTCAGCAAAAAGTTTATGGACACAAAAGTGAGATGAAATGAATCAAAATTTAAATGGTGTAACCATAACTAGTGAAAAATCTTTTTCAGGACTCCGGGACCTTGCATAGGGGGGATCCACATCTGTGAAGATTTTTGCAGCCTTTCCTGAAAAAATATGAAGTACTTTTGTGTGCCTATGGCTTTTCAGGCAATGGGGATTTTGCTGTGGAATCTCATATCACCTAACTTAAGACTCTACTTCTGGTCTAGGAAGAATAAGGGAACCTAAATGAGAGATCGTAAACTTTCTACAAATGGCAAGATGTTTTTCCATGACTGTTCTGTGGAGGAAAAAAAAGGCAGAACAAGAAAACAACTGGACACATTTTCCAATGGAAAGGTTTCCCATAGCTAGGTCACATACAAAATGTCACAGAACAGAAGTAGCTAAACAGCTAAAAGAAGCATGGATTCAAACAAAGCGCTAGGTAAAAGTGAACAGGTTTTGTTGAGCTCACAGTAGCCTCTGTTATAAAATTGTTCCAACTTTCTTTTTCTGTCTGACATAGTAGGAGCCTAAAATGTCCCCTGACTAGCCTGGCATCCAGGAAGTAAAAGAAAACTTTATTTTATTCTGGAACCTGACAAATCTAAAATGCACTGGTCATTCTGCAATTCATCTAATAAGCTAAAACAGTAACACCTGGTTTCCTTGTTTTAGGCTAATAAAAAGTTGTACTTGTGTTGTTCAATACAGCACGCTGAAATTCTAGATGGTGAAAAACATTTCACATCCAAACATGCTACAAAAAGGTATATGAAAATAAACTTAATTGACACTGGCTGTTTTAGCTTCCTCAAAAACTAAAATGTTTCAAAATTATATTTGTTGGAAAATAGTTATTATATGAACTGTCTGCTCAGGAAACTATTTTTTTTTAAACCAGGGGTGCTCAGCCCCAGCCTGCAGGGCAGATCTGGCCTCCAGAGCCATGTCATCCAGCACATGGGGATTCCCAAGGGTCTGGAAATTTGGTGGCAGGTGAATGGTAGCAGCATGTGGGGTTGGGAAAATGCACGGCCAAATCTGGGCTTCCAGAATTGGGCCAATGTGTGTGGCTGGATCTAGGCATGTGGGCTTGGACTGGTGCGTTGGACTGTACCCAAGAACCAACCCCACACAGGGCTGGAAGGTTGAGTGTCACGGTTTTAAACAGTTACATAAAATATAACTTTATTTCTCCTCACAAAATTAAAAAAATATGCACCCAGTGTACATTTGCATAGCTTATAAAACACTGTTGAAACTCCATCCAACATAATCATTTTAAAGCTTGCCTCAATTTGTTACTATTACCTCCCAGCCCAATCCAGCAACAAAATCTTCATATGCTTGGCTTCCTCTTGCATTAGACAGTATTGAACATTTGTCCTCTTGCCCTTCTGCAATGTAAAACACTGCAATCTTGTGAGTTTCACGACTGCAATTAGAAGTAATAAGAAATCAAAGTTAATTCAATTTTATTTCAGATTAAGAGCAGTTGTACTTTGAAAAGTGACTTCATAAAAATGATACTATTTTACTCAAGGTACACAAATATATATAGTCATATAACTCAAATTCAGGGGCAGAAATATATTTTTATCTCTTTCTAGTCCTGATTATACCCCAGAGCCAACACGGTTCTGAGAATGAACTGGATTCTATTATTTTTGTGCATCAGCAAAAGAATTGATTACCAAGTTCCAATTACAGGGTTAATCACTTACATCTGTGCAAACTCACTGAAGACAATAGAGTTGCACAGGTGTTAATGAGGGCACAATTTGGCCTGCAGAATCTTAATTACTGATAATGATGTACAAGAAGGAAAAAAACATTTACTGACTTTTATATCCCAGGTTTAGTTTGCAGGACTGGCAGTTAAACAAAGGCTTATATGAGAGTAAACTGAGCATAATTGGTATGAAGATTACTGAGGCACAGTACAAATCTTACAATGTCTCTTTAATGTCACTTATCAAAGAAAAATCACACATTAAGGAACGGCAAAGGACACCATAACATTCAGAACTCTATTCTGCCACTATCTTTTCCTAGTGAGGTGGGTTTACATTTGGCTCCTTTCAGACCTGATGTCGTCATGTGGATCATCTCAAAGGAAATTCTTTTTATGGAAAATGTTGATTAAACATTATAAATTTATAATACCTCCTGGTTCCTTTTACCATGATAGAAACTGGCATCAAACAGGAATATTGTTTATTTCCAATTCCCAATCCCAATCCAATTAAAGAAAAAAAGAAAAGAAAAGAAACCTTTTCATATTTAGCTCAGGGAGAGGGCCTCATCCACATGGACTGTAGAAGCTACAGGGGAAGCAATCAGACTGATTGATATACTATCTATGAATGTTCTCTCAACAAAATATAAAACAAACGCCACATATCTGTAGAGGAACAAATATCTGCATTGCTAATGCATACAATTTGTATGAATGTCTGTTTTGGGGGATTTACTACAAAAATATGGTTTTAGCATTAACCGTGATTAGTACATTTTACCTACCATTGCCGGGAGTCTAGATTTTTCAGCTCTCTCAGTAATTTAGAATTTTTCTTGAGTAGATGAAAGCTTTTTCTACAAAAGTAGAAAAAGATTTTAAAGGAAAATGCTTCTTAGAACACATGAAAGTTTTTATTATTCAAACAGCTAAGCAAAAGATGAAAGAACCAGTATGTTTTGAAATGCATTTGTTATGAACAAACTGCACTAGTCAAATCTTATTAGAAACCGATCAGCAATTCAAACTATATGGTAAAAACTGAAACAATGCTCTCTTTTCAACTACTAATCAATCTCACAATTCTCCCACTCTTT